TATTAAAAACAGAACAAGAGAAAGAAATTTAATTATTGACCTCAAACATTAGGCTGAATGAGATCTTCACCCAGATTTGGACTTCTAAGAACCTGTGTTCATGGGGAGGGCTTACTCTCCATCGCTGACTACACAGTATCAAAGGATTGGTTAGGGCAATATCGATAGGGCATTGTGTGATGAGGCGTCCCCCGTTGCGTCAATCGAGGTGTTGTGTATAGGTGGCCGGAACCATATCATACTGTGCAAGTATCATAAGTTAGCATATCTCAGGGTCCTGAAGCACCCTTACATCACACCCTCTTTAGATTCTTATATGGTACGGTGGGGTATGATGTCAAACGAGGGCGCGGAATGAACTGAACTGAACGGAAGGGTAGGGTATGTCAGGGCAGATAACCTAACGGAAACCCCCCTCCCCCCTTCTCCCCACAGACGATCCACCGGGGGAGGAACGGAAGAGCAGCTAACAAGTGTTTATCCCCTCCTCACCTTCACTTTTAACGATACCATACGACACCAAGCCTCCATCCCAGTAATATCAAAACGAAGCATCTTTACATAGGTGTAGGAAATAGATACACGGATAAAGATACTCGACAGCCACCACTAAACCCCATCCATTCATTCCTCCAGCTCATCCGACCATTATATACACAACGGGAGGAAGAAAGAAGGGAAAAAACCCCCCTTCAGAAAGACCGACTTCTCCCTTCGTATGATATGATCTGATAACATTCATCCATACAGATGCTCGGGGAAACACCCACCAATCCTCCGCAGATTCTCAATTCACCCTGGGATCCCCCTCCTCCTCCCTTCCAGAGCGGCCAATGATTAGAGATGTTGCTGCAAATAATGTATGTTGGAGAGGAATCCATACCCGGGTCACGAAATGCCGTCGGATGTCAAGCAGATCGTTGCAATAAAAATAAAAAACAATAAAATATGATCGACCACCGGACACCTTCACTAGGCTACAGGTGAAATATGTGAAGCGGGTGTTATGATATCATCTGCCCTGTGGTCTGAGCATTCCCGAAACTACGGAGATTTGAGATCGTGATAATAATTATGCTACAGCACAGTTCATGCCCAAAAGGGGGGGGGAGTGTCATCCTTTCCAAGATTCCCGGGAATGATATATGATACTGAAAAGATAACCTCGATGGATGATACTTGCACAGGCCAACCACAACACTCCGAAAGAGAAAGAAAAGGGAGGAAAAAAAAACCACCTCGAAGTCGGGGGGGGGGGGGGGTGCTCCCACTATGAGTGAGTAAAATGAGTGAGTCTACACAATTATGAATGATATAGCTATTAGGGACGCGGTTTCGAGGACCGGTAATGATGGGGTGTGTGAGGGTAACTGTAGGAGGGAGCGGTCACGGATCGGGATTTTTGATAGTTATATTGCGGTACTACGGTACTCATTACTACTACTGCTACTACCCAGCAAGGTTTTTTTTTTTACGGAACTGGAGGGGTGGAAAAGGTGTAGGTGGGAACTTGTGAAGGTGAACTGGTGACTGGTTGAGCAAAGTAGCCGTTGGGCAGTTTGGGGGTCTGACGATTGACAGATTTATTGTTGGGTCAAGGGCACTGTGCTGTCCGACTGTGTGAACGCGAACCAAGGATGCGGGTAATGTGAGGGAGGAGGATTTTGCTCAAGAGGTCCGTTTAGATTTCTGCTCATTTGCGTCGCCCATCGCGGCCCCGCAAGGCGTTCCTTGTCCAAACTATACAATGCCGGTTGCAGAAACCAGTATGCAATGTAGAAGATATTGAGAACAATACAGTTCCTCCGCCAACCTCTTCGCCGCCCCATCACTCCATTACCAACCGAAAACAAAACCCAAACCTCCCAACCCTTCAAACGTAGCTATCGTACACAGGGCCCGCTCAGTGCACCCTAGTCCACAAGTCTAATCACCACAAACTGTGGTTCTAGCCAAACAGCTCCTTCCTCCTCATAGTCCAAAAGGTAAGAAACCGCACAGCCAGAAGCACGGTTCACAGGGGCGAGCCTTATGAGTTACGGTGCACCAAGCACCTTCCCTACCTCCCCCTACTGCACCGTACAAACATAGGAGGCAAAGCAAGAGCGAGTGAGAACCTATGAAAATGGAAAAAACCCCCGGACCATAATGTATCATAACAGACGGGGAAGAGAGAGAAAGATTTATAACTGGGAAAGGCGGGGGGGACTAGCTAGGATTACACGCTGAATTATTCGCTCGGGGAGGGGAAAGGAAGAAACACTAGGCAAAAAAGTGTAAAAAATGTGAAACAGAAACGGAAAATTGGGATGGATATTGGATGGAAATTGAAAACTGAAGATTAAGAGTGATCGCTCATTACACTATATGGTACGAACGTGAAAAAGTGAGAAGGCGGCTGTCAAAAGCACGCGAGTAAAGGAAAACAGGTAACTGGAGAAAGAGGAAGCTCATCGATCGCCCTGGCCGTGTATACGGATAGACAGAACCAGACCATTCACAGACCAAGCAAAACACAGGCGCAAAAATAATAACAATAGAGAGCGGAGCAAAACACAGCCAAAATACCTGTCACTTATAGCCCGCTAACCCTCCTCGAAAGCCTCGGCACAGGCGGTACACTCCCAACATCAGGAACCGGGGGCGGCGGAGAATGGCGGGCGCCCTTAGCACCACCCACTCCACGGCCCGCCGTCGCTGCCGCCGAAGCACCATTATTCCGCCCACCGCCCAAGTTCCCCAATACAGGTGTGGAAGCCCTCTTCGGCAGCGCACGCAATCCTGACCCAAGCGAATACGGCCGACGCGCATTCCTGGGGGCAGAAGTGTGATTGGCTTCACCGAGACTCTCAATAATCGTCATCCCGGCCATGGCGGTGGCATTGAAGCTGCCGCCGAAACTGGTGTTCCTAACGGGTGACAGTGGGACCATCGAGGATCCCTCATCCACCTCGTTATCGTCAACTTCCGTTTCTTCGCCTTCGGCAATGTCAGACCGGTTTGCTGTCGAGTCGTTGCTTCGCCGGGGGTTTTGATGTTGGGGTGTCTCCGGGTCGGCGGCGGCGACGGCCCTGACGGTGGAGCTTGCGAGGCGTGGTGGGATTTGTGGGACGGGCGGGACGTTGGTTCCCCGGGTGGCGTCATCGAGTTCTTGTTTGGCTCTTTCAAGTTGTTCTTCCAGGTTGCTGACTTTGTTCTTTAGCCGTTCTCGCTTTTTGAGCTCGCGCTTTGTTGGACCGCATTCACCCTTTCCCGTGCCGTCATCCTCCTTGTTGTCTTTTCCGATGATAGAGTTGACGAAGACTTTGCTCTTCTTCTTGACCAATGTCCCCACTCCATTCAACTTGTTGGCGGCACCCTCTGCAAGAGGAGGGGAGAGCACTCTCGAAGACGTTCTGGAGTGGCGGGATTTCCGTCCATCAATGCTAACACTTCGGCGATGGGAAGCCCTAGGAAAAGTTGAGGATCCACGGGAATGATCTGACAACGATGATCTCACAGAGTGATCCCCCCGAACCCTAGATTCACCAGGCTCGCTGCCGCTGTTACGCTGCTCGACGGAAATAGCCATTCCACTCCCAATGGAATTGGTCACTCCCGATACCCCCTTCCCCCCACTAGCACCAGCTGCATCGCCTCCAACGGAAGCCTCGTCACCTGAGTCTGTGCTTAGAGCCATTCCGACATCCTCACGATTGCCATCCGTTCCGGCCATTACATAATCTTCGTACTTAAATCTGATCTGATTTGCGCCAGCAACAGCAGCAGCATTCCCAGTCAATCCCTGGGCTGCACCGAGCCTCTTCATTTCTTCGTAGGCCTTCTCACTCCTCTTTCTCCGATCGGCCAACATCCTCTTCCTTCGCTCATGAGCAATATATTCAGCCTTCTGCTTTTCCCATATGTCCTTGATACGGTGAGCGAACTTGAACGGATTCAGAGCACCCGCCGCAGTACCTATCGAACCAAGTAGGCTAGTGTTTGCAGAACTCATAGTAGCATTGCCAGTGCTGTCGGTGCTCTGTCTCTCTGTCGGTTCGTATGCGATTTCTTCCTCATGTCTGAGCGGGGAAGAACTGGGGAGTAGCCCAATGATATCTTTGGGGGGAACTGCACTTGCACGATCCCTCATACTACCTTCAATAAACTTGCTAACAACCGTAGATCCCGCATCTGCAGAGTCGTGAGCCCGCACTCGTTGCTTCTTGGGGGGTGTCGGAAAATCCTCATTTGCTCTTGCCTCCCCCGTCACCGTAGAAGCTAATCTCCGATTGGACACTTTCCTCTTAGCCCTCTTGGGTGTTCCAACTTCCTCGTCATTAGATTCGCTGTCAGAAGACGCAGGCCGATAGGCGTGGTCGGCATCGGACTTTCGTTTCTTCCTATAACTTCCGGGACCCAGCTTGTCAACTGACTGCTCGTTCCCTGCAACGGATTCGAGTCTATCGAGGACTGCATCCCCATTTTGAGTTTGAGCCTGGCTCGTGCCGCCCAATGTTGCTGATGCCTCCTTTCTCCTAGCATAGCTCTCCCGTCCCCTAATCCTCCTAATCTCCCTTTTCTCCTCCTCCGTAAGAATACTCATCTGCCTACCCCGCTCCTCCTCCTCGCCCTCCGGCTCGTCAAGTTCCGTAGCATTGTCTTCATCATCGTCGGACTCAATATCCTCGTAAATCTCCTTTTCCTCCGACTCCTTATTCAGATCAAACGTAGAGGTACTCATCCTAGCCCTCAAAGTTTCCCTCAACACCTAATCAGATCGGTCAGTTGGACTCCACAACAAAACAACAGAAACTAATAAAATATAAAATAAACCCCCAAAAACAAGAAATGCCAAACCGGGTAGGAAATTACCTTCTGAGGCGTCGAGAGCATGTTGTCACCCATCTATAGATAAACTGGCGGATGAGCTGGCCCAGCTTTGATCGCGTAAAAGCGCAGGGCAACCTCTTTTCGCGCACGAGCAGAATCTAGATCAAAAAAAACCCCGTGTTGTACCGTCAATTTGCAGCGATGGAGATGTGAACATCCGGCGGCGGCGGCGGCGGCGGATAGCCACCTGTTGGCGGACAGGACAGGGTCACGGAGGGAGGGAGTGGTATCGGCGTGGTAGAAGCAGCACGGAGGGGAAAGGAGAAGAAAGGAAAGGGGAGCAAAAAAATGAAAAACGAGTTTGCGCCTACGAGAGAGGACAAATTTGACACGTGATTTCGCTATTTTCCTCTTTTTAGGAATCTACCCTTTCGATACAACGAGCGACAGAGAAAAACAAAACATTGTAAGGAACAGCCGCCCTCACCAAAGAGCGAAGGTGGAGGGGGATGGAATCGAACTCCCCCTTTTTTAAGTATTTTTTAAGTATTTCTTTTCCCTTTAAACTTGAATACAGGATGGGGGCGAAACAAAAAGAAACCTAAAACAGGCACAAAAAGAAACTTATCATACTTGATCAGGGGAATTACAAGACAAGAAAAAAGCTTCGACACCCCAAATAATGAAACCTGGGGCTCTCCCAAATTTTCTAACATGATTCCCCCCAACGAAATTGAACGGCCGTTATTACAGATCAACCCATGAGACAATAATACCAAATTCGAACCAAAAGATTCCACGGTATGATATAAATTATGGGTCATGAGTATCCAAACGGAACCCTGAAAAAAAGATTCATAAAAGCAAAACTCCCCCCGCTCCCAAAACTTGAAAAGATCACGCAAACATACTAGCAAGAAATTTGGTAATGACAAGTTTTAAACTGCTACTTGCTGCCCCCATCCAGTTCTCTTTTCCTCCCCAAGGAAACCCAGCTCAAAGAAAAGGCACAAAAACAGAAACGGATGGAAAAAAAAGGGGGGGACTCTGTTTTGCGAGACAAGGAAAAAATCGAGTTAATAAGACAAATAGAGACTAGAAGCACACTCATAGTCGTGATACAAACAATCTCCGAGAGAAGCAAGAAAAAAAATATCAACCCGAAAAAATAAAACAGCCTCCTATGGACATGTGAAGAAAACAGGGAAGAATTCGCAAGGAAACGTAGAGAGCAAGAAAGATTGTAATGTAGCTGACGATTTCGTAGGAGAATGTCAGATCCCGACTGATGTTATCCATAACCCGAAACGAGCTTTCCCCCACGATTCCAATGTACAGTTCCGTACTCAAACCAAGCAAATATACTAAAGAGAAAAAAAGGGAAAAAGAGTCAAAGTCGCCAACCAGGCAAACTGGGATATCATAAAAAGAACACATGCAAAATCAGAAATCTCCAGACCAAGCCAAAACAATGCACGCTGGAACATTAAATCCATTAAAACGGGCTTAGATACCACTCGCTAATGTTTAATCTTCTCCAGGCAGCCTGCGAACAATCTCGACACCATCGGCGCGGCGGTAGCTCATCTTCAGCTTACCAAAATCGTAGGCATCGTCATCAACCTCAGCCTGTTGAGCATATGGTGGGGGGTCGCTTCCATAGGCAGCAGAGTTCGAAGAGGGTCTAGAACGGTTCTGCATTGGACCTTCAACATGCGCATTGTTGAACACCCGTCCCCAAGGCCTCTTAGTGCCTCTACCTTCGGACTCCTTCGGGGGCGCACTGCTATTGGAGGATCCCCAAGAATCGTTGGATGGAGCCGAGGGTGTAGTATACTTTGGCTCGGGGTAATAGGCAGGGAACTGGTTTGGATTCGGCGGTGGTGGAGGTTGAGACATCTGGGGCGGGGGAGGCCTTTGAGACGGCATAGGCGCATTTGTATGAGGTGGATAAGCGCTGGGTGAAGGCAAAGGAGCAGGAGGATTTGTAGAGTTCGGAGTAGTAGGTTGATTGTTCCAAAGTTTCGGCTCCAATGCTGGCAAGCCCAATGCCGGCAACCGGAGGGGAGGAAGTGAGTTATTCGCAGACTGAGGTGGAGGTGGTGCATGCTGTTGTGGCTGAGGCTGAGGCTGTTGGTGGTGATACTGTTGGGAGGCAGGAGGACCAGGTTGGTAAGGCTGGTGTTGTTGCTGCTGCTGCTGATGGCCGTAACCATTCTCCATCTGACCATTGTATGGAGACGCTGCAGGCGTTCCAGGCCTATAATGTTGAGGAGGCTGTTGGCGGTAAGCAGGATCTGAATCCCTCCTTGCACGGAATTCACCAGAGTCACGTCTAACATGATGGGGTTCATGTCTGGGTTGTTGCTGAACTTGCTGGTTGGGCAACGAAATCGAGTTCTCACGTGAATGATACGGTACGGGTGCGCCATACGGGCCCTGCTGTGAGCGTGCAGACGGGGGCATATGAGGAGCTGGATGATGCACACCATTTTGCGCATGGGGTAGTGGAGGATAACGAGATTGGATATCCGGCCCATAGAGTTCTTGCGGTGCATGAACATGAGGTGCGGGTGGTGCGGGTGGTGCAGGAGCATGACCATTACTTCCAAAGGATAGATGTTGATGCGCGCTCTGGGATGGTGGTGGCCCTGCTGGAGGTCCATATGGAGGATAGTTTTGGTTGGGAGTTGAGTATCCATTTTCGTGTCTTGGAGCATGTGGCATATCTCCCATGGAGGAAATCATGGAGGCATCAGATCCACTTCTCTTCCGATTAATGGAGTTAGAACGCTGCATTGGGTGAGGCGTAGGCTGATGGTATTGCGGCGTATGCTGCGCCCTAATTGAGTTCTCGATATCATATTGGTCTGGTGTAGCAGCCCTCCTCGACGCCCTTAACATAGCGGTCTCATCCATATGACGGTCCTCACTATCCCTGCTAGGCCTATCGCTCCTCCTTCTCATCCTAACATCCCTTCTAATTCTCACGCGGCAACCCTGCTCGGCCACGATCCTAGATAGAGCAGTGCTCTCCGCCAACCCAGGAAACTTCTTGGCAGAAAAAACGGTGAATGCCTTGGATTTAACATCCAGCCTGTGAGTACAATATTCCCTTGGCTCCAGTGGGTCCTGTGGAACAGGATATCCCTCCTCTTCCTTAGTCTCCTCGTAAAGGGCGAACCTGAGCCTGTATTTTCCCTCATGCCGAACGGAAAGATCCGGAAAGATGAAATATCCAGCCGGATTGGGGCGGTCCAAGTACGCCATACCAGAAACTGGAACACCCGTCAAAACGGGGGCCGGGGCCGGAGCTGGCATTCCTCTTCCTTGAGCGATGGGGCGCGCCTGTTCTAGCGTAGCGAACAGGAAAAAGTTGGAGTTATGGGAAAAGGTCCTACACCATCGTTATTAGCCAAGTTTTCACAAAACAGGTCATATATTCAACATACACGTCAGTCTTCTCATGTCCCTCGAATAATCTCAACTCCACGACCGGCGGAGGATCAACTGGTCTACGGTCCGCGTGCGCTATATCCAGTAAACCAATCAGCAAACTACCCCTCACTGCCAGATATTGAGACACTAACACTTCGCTCCTTGCCCGCAGGCTCTCGCCCTCTCGGGCTGCTGGAGAACCTGCATGCGATATTCAAGCTTGGTACCATTTTGGAGCGTACGACTGAATGTCGCTACCGTCTCCGAAACATCGTGAATACTAATAGTCTTTGGGCCACTCATTTTGACAAGTGTCCCTGCTAGTAGATCGCAAAAATCTACCGAACTGCTCCAACCCCAACAGTCAGCAACGGGTAAAGGATCCTGAATTGAGTTCCGACGCGCAGGTATTGACGGATATTGTAAGGTATGGTTGTGAGCAGCAGAAAACAAGAGCTAAGATATATATGTCGATGCTGATAGTCAGTCAGTAGCAAGTGAACCACCGACACTTTTTCTCTCGACTGAACAACGTCGGTCCAGGAGAGCTGGAGTGTGGCAGGAGGTGGTGATTATCCGAATTCGCGACTTACTCGACCCGTCGCATGCCTCGGCGGTGGGATGGGGAAGATAGGGAGAATCGAGGGTGGAGGAGGGTGGGAGAGGAAGGGAGTGAGTGAGGGCTCAGAAGAAGGGAAGGTGGTTGGAGCCGGGAGAGGACTGATGCAGACGGCAGCGGGCGGACAGTCAGAAAAAAGAAGGGGGGTGTGGCAGCAAAAGGTAGGAGAGATGGGAGGCGAGGATCACGAAGGGCCCTGGAAATGTGGTACGGTACGGTAGTGTGAGTGAGCGAGCGAGAGGCTTGCCTCTGCTTCTTCAGACCCTTTACAGTACCACATCTAGACCGTCCAGCCCGAATGTTCACTGAGCAGACTCGGCACGGTAATTATTCATAGATATTGTTTTCTGCACGGAAACAGCAAAGGCGGATATCGCTCCTGTCCTTTCTGTCCTTGTAACTCACTACCTTCATTGCTCCGCCAGCTGTTGACCACAGATATGTGTGGAGTGTATATCTCGCTCCTCGTTCCTCTTCCCCAGCTCTGCCCGCTGCTGCTTCTGCCTCCGCCTCTCTGCTCCTCATGCCCGAAAAAAAAAAAAAAAAAAAGAGAGACCAAATTGTACGACTAAGTACAAGCATGATAATTCCAGGTCCAGCTGGCTATCGGTGCAGAGAGCTAGGATTGAACCAACCAACTGCTCACATCACACACACCAAGTCTCGTTCCTCTCGCAAAACCACGGGCTCACTCTCCCACTTCCGAAGAAGAGCATTTTGCTCAATCCCTTCCCTCTCCCTCTCCCTCTCCCTCTCGTTAACTTCCTTCCTCCCTTACCCCTCCACCGCCCCCAGGCCGCACAGGGGAGCTCGAAGAAGAATGAGAGATATTAAACAACTAGCGAGGCGCATCAAAAACCGGCAAGAAGAAGACTCCCACAGATCCCAGTCCCAGAGCGTGGGATGGGGACCAGCATGCCCCATGATTGGAGCTTGGCCTTCAAGTTGCATCTGGGTGTGTGGGACCTTGGTGTATGGTTCGTTGTGTGGGTTGGCTTTCTCTTTCCGTCGAGCAATTCCCTGTAAAGGTCTGACCCGTTTTCCCTGGGCCCTTGGTGTGGTAACCGTGGTCACTGGTCACCAGTGGTGGAAGGCTCGTGGTGGGTGCCCGGGCTCCCCTTCTGGCTGGCTGTAACTGATGTTTTCTTCATTTTTCCTTTTTTTCCCTTTTTTTCTTTCTCGCCTGCCCGTCCCAGGCGATTCAAATTTACCGATTGGGCTTCTGGCACAGCATTTTAGCTCTGTCTCCCTCCCTTCATTTCTCTGGGATTTTCTTCGGCTTCTCCCTGCCTCACGGCCGCGGCAATCGTGGAAAATTGCACGTTTTTTCGTGAGCCATCCCTCCTTCCTCACTTTCCCCATACCGGTAGGTATCATACGCTCACTTTTTTCAAGCAAAAATAAAATAAAATAAAACCACTGGTCTCACATCAGTGCCAACGGAACATGAGCCTGAACGAGAGGGCAAAAAATTAACCTATCCCCAGCATAAATAATAGTCTATCCTTACCCCCCCCGAGCAGGAGAAAAATAACTAAATAATTATTATATCCAAAAGAAGAAGTGGGCACTCAAGGATCCCAACGCCCAAAGTCCTGTTCCTCGCACCTATCCCTGGTTCGTGAAATGGGAAAAGACCAACCGCGGCGCTTCTTACACCCCTAATCCGGTAACCCAAATTGCCGATTGCCCACAAGTACCTACTCGAGTAAAGTACCGTGCAAGTACCTTCAATCCTTACCCTGCCAGTAAACCATTTCTTTTTCCCACCGGCTCCTCGTCGAACACGAAAAAGAAGGGAAAAAAGGGAAAGCCAAGGAAAAGAGAAAAAAAAGTTGTCTTTCATGTTCGCTGCTGACTTGAGCGCTGCGTACTCTACTGTACCCGAGTGCCGGTACAGTACACGATATTCGTTCATCTTCACGGGGCACGGTTTGGTAAAACCGGCAAAACAGTACTGTACTAAGCGCTATCGTAGTAACTACCGTACCGCATCACCGTGTCGTTCAATCATCCAACGAAGCAAACCATTCAACGAGAATTCTCGCGCTTGGTGGTAATTCTCGCAGGAAACCCTATGGCACAATACCGCAAGCACCTACCGTACCGCCAGGCATGGGACGGTATTAACCTGTAACCGAAGTCCATCCATGCACCGCACCGGTATTCTGCTGGCTGCTCCTGTTGCCGCTGGGTCTGGGTCCGGCACTGTTAGCCAGACCCCCCCATTCACCTCCACTCTAACTCCCAGGCACCACCACCGGCAGTTGAACATTAAATGACCCCTCTATTATAACCTCTTTTTACCCACTCCCCTCCCTTATCCCTCCAGGGATTAACCTAACCTTCCTTGCAACCTCTCGGCGGTGGGTGTGTGTGTGAGTGTGTGTGAATGTGTGAGTGTGAGTGTGTGAGTGGATGCGTGGAGTTTGAACACAATTGGCTATAGGGGGGCGGATCCACTCTGGCTGTGTTACTTGTAGCCAAGCTTTCCAGGCATAAAACCATTTTTCTTCTCGTCGCGGGAGTGAGTGGGTGGGGGGTGACCAGCCAAGAGGGAAACACGGCAAGGCCTCACTCTTCCTTACCTGTACAAGTATTTCCACTTACGGTGTGAATGAAATATTTAAAAAAAAAAAAAAAAAAAAGGTTCGCGTTGCTCGCACAACGGTCCTTGCTTGCGTTTCAGGTTTTGAGTTTCCCGAGCATTGACAGATGGGTAGATACTTGTATCATGGATGGACCATTCATCACTGTGCCGGTACAAGAATTTATTACCCTGGCTCACAAGTACTTTACCGGTACTCTACAAAGCGTCCCTCCCCGAGCCAATTGGCGCCTGTTTGCCCTTTCAATCCGTGTGTGGGCGGTGTTATACAAAGGTTCCAAAAAGGGTGCCAATTCCTGGCACGGATACGGCACACGGGCAGAGAATCAATTCTCGATGAGTTACGTTTTTTTGCTGTACGAGTACTCGTACAGTACCGTACCTGTACCGGTAGCTTCTGTTGTCGAGCACACTGCAAGGCAAGCTAACGGCGAAACAAAAATAAATAAATCTCCCACCACCTCCCGAGCCAAATTCGATAAACAGATGGATAAATAAATAAATAGATAAATAAATAAAAGGGTCGACTGTATTTTGATTTCCAGCCCGCTACCGGTATCGGATTCCGGAATACTTGTTGTACGAGTACAAGCACCAGTAGAGAGATCTTGTGCCATGAAGATCGTTGAGGAATTTGCCCCTCCCCCCCCCCTCTCTCTCTTTCTTCTGTCTGTCTCTCTTTCTTTCTTTCCTTCTTTTCGTACGATCGCATAAATTACAACCGCTTGAGCCCTAGAAAGAGAGGCAGGATACAAGTGGAACAGCTGGATGAGAGAGACCACGAGGTCAATGGTGGCGCTGTTGGTATTTTTGGGCGAGATGGGGGAGAGGAGTGCCGCAGGTGGGGGGGTCTGCCTTGGTGGAGTGGAGCGGAGCAGGATTACTGTACCATACCGTAGAGAACTTTGGGCGTTCGTAACCAGGGGCGGAAAATGATCAATCGATATCTCCACTGAACCCCCCCAGTGCTCCTACTGTACCGGTACGGTATGAACGTCTGGCTCATCTCAGGCTCACCAAATTATTACGGTATCGCAGGAAGGAAGCGAGCAAAATCCAAACGATAACAAAAATCAAAAATCGAAATCAAAAATCTGATACCCCCCTCCCAAAAAAAAAAATAAGGCAAAACCCGCGACCACACTCATTACTCTACCCCAAACGGTGCCATACCTTGAACCTCCGACACCCCTCCCCGCAAAAAAAAAAA